TATAATAAACCGTATTTTTCGACTTTTTATTTAAAGCGCACACTTAATTTGATTATATCTGATTTCTATACATCGTTTGTATGTATGTGACAATATATGTAACGAATTTGATGTCTATGCTCTGTAGACGCATTCGGCCGTATGAGCAACATCACTGAATGAGGAGAAGTCGACTCCGTTCTTGCGGAAGACGGAGGCGCACTTGTCGTTCGCTGGACCGGAAGTCTGTGGGGTGCGGGAGAAGACGAAGCCGAACTCGGCCTTGTAGCCGCTCATTTCGATGCAGGAATACACGCACGAGTAGCTGTCGTAGTCAGTCTCGATCACTTCATAGGGAGCGGCGAAAACTGTTGATGAAAGGAAATTCATTAGGTGGAGTTAACTACACATATTAGTAATATAGCATTGGATTCCACAAAACATTAACATACCCGCAAGGATAAGTGTTCCACACGTACCGGTAGGGAAATCGATGAGCATGTGGGCAGCAGGGAAGTCCTTTGTGGGGTAGATCTTGCCCTGCATTCTGAGGTACTCGTTGCTGGGGCTGAATCCAGCTGTGGTCACCTTGAAGCCGTAGTCAGAGTCAGAGTAGTCGTAGTTGGAGTGGATGCAGCGAGTGAATGGCTGATAGGCGTTGTCGATGATCTGAGTTTGATACCAGCGGCCCGAGTACTGTTGGGAAGACACAGTATTAAAACAATGTAAATGTAGACTTGTTTACTCAGTCACATTTAAAACATAATTCCCAGCAATATAAATAATACCAATAAAATCACACCTTGCGAAGATCGAACTTGTCCTGGTTGGCCACTTTAGCGCATTTTCCAGGAACAACGAAGTCTGGGATGCCGTCAGCAGAGACAAGGGCCACAAGGGTAGCGGCCACGAGTGTGGAAAACATAATGCTATCTCAGATGACAGTCTACGGTGAATAACAAATTCTGTTCCCTGAGAATCGTGAATGTAACCCTTAGTCCCCACGTGGCTAGTTTTATACCTGCCTCAAACCTGTGGGTGGACTTACCTTCTCGGAGGCGGAGCTCTGCGAGTCATGTTGCCACGAACTCCGATTTATTGTTTTCACTCTTTTCATTGTTTATTGTTTCTTTTTAAGTCAGTTATATTATAAAATATGTACTTGATATTAGAATGAAATTCAATACATCCTTAATTTGTATACCAAGATTGAAAATAGTTTTTTCCCGTTATAAATGCAATGCAAATAGGTAATCTTGCCTTATCTTGAACCTCTCTCCATGTTAAGCATTCCTATATAAAGCTGGAGTCGCGTATTCTACAGCAGGATCAGTTGTGGAAAAGCAAGAAAGAAATCATGAAATCTGCTGTGTTCTTCGTCGCCTTTGTGGCAGCAGTTGCAGCTGACAAAATCCCTGACTTCTTAGTACCAGGAAAGTGTCCAGCTGTAAACGAGAAAGCTCTCTTCGAACAACAAATACCTAACCATTCAAAAG